TAATGGTTAGCAAGCTTTTCTCTGTAATAAATTCTTAATAAATATTTTTAAGTGTAAGGTAGTCCTTCATTTACAATTCTTTACGCCTAACCATGATGTTGATCAAAACTGCCTAAACACCTTTAATCGCATATTGCCGCAAAATTATCAAATGTTGACCACGTACCTCCTCCGCCGAACTTGTCATATAAGCATTAATTGTTTTTTCTTTGTTTTACAGCTTTGATAATGAGTTTTGAAAAAAATTTAAATTAAAGCCATTTTAGGCTACCTGTGAAAAAAGGACTGAGTTCAAGGATAACGGCAGAAAAAATTAATGATCTGGAAAGTCCCAGGAACTGTCAACGTATGTGTGGTGCAAAACTGATTCAGACGAAGGTGAAACCAGTCTGGAAGACAAACAAAGGTCAGGGAGACATTTCGTTGCGGATAATGAGGCCTTGCTTGAAACGCTTGAACAATTGCCACTCATACATTGTCGGCAGGACTTAGTCCTTTACAATGGACCATCAATCGACACCTCCATACGCCCAAACTTGTGAACAGACGCCGAGAAGTTCCTCATGAACTGACCAATGGCCAGGCTCAACGACGTGTGAACATTTACAAACAACTGCTGGCGAATCATCAAGACGCCTGCTTTTGGCGTCGAATTGTAACTGGGATGAAAATAAATCTATTTTCGTAAACCTAATAAGAGAAATCAGTGGCTTTGTTCCGGCTAGATTTCAGAATCTGTTGTCAAACAAGGGCGGCTTGAACGGAAGGTTATGTTATGTGTTTGGTGGAATTTTTAGTAGGTGTTGCACTTTGAGTTTGTCCCAGATGGTGGTACCGTGAACGTCGACCTTTATGCTCAACAACTGCAGCGAGTATATGATGCTTTGAAAGCCCGCTACCCGGCATTGGTCAATCGAAGACGGGAACTTCTGCATCATGGCGATGTCCCAGCATACACTGCTATATGTTTTTATGAATAAACGCAAACTTGAGGAAAAGGAGATGGAAATACTGCCCCAACTTGCCTCCACTCCGGACCTTGCTCCTTTTCTGAGCGATGGCTCATTTACTGGGCGGATGGAGATTCGATAATGTGGACGATATTGAACAGAGATGCAGGGAATTTTCTTGCCTCTAAACCAACCAAATGGAATAAGTATAGAATTGATCTTCTGGCGCAACGATAGTAACAGACAACAGAATATGATAGGATATATTTTAATGAATAAACGCTTTTCCTATGTAATTAGTTTGAACTAGTAATTAAAGCCTGAGATAATTTTAATTCAATCTAGTATAAAAAACACACTTCAAAAAAAAAAAAAAAAAATGATTCAATTACAATATTAGTAATATTTGCAGAACTAATTTTGTCACCAATATATGGTGATATGCTTCTTCATATGCCAATTTCTAATTGTTAGAAACTAACGTATATATATATATATATATATATATATATATATATATATATATATATATATATTTTTAGATAATCCGAAAATAAATATTATACATAGAAGAAAGTACTCGTCACCACTAGTTGGTCTATATTTACTCAACCCTCCCACGAGGTCAGGTTGTGACATAAGGTCGGTTTAATGTGGGGAGAACGAGCGCGTACACCCGGGCTAGGAACAAAAAATTGTCCGATCCCTCTCTATAGTGCAATGAGAAGGCGCGGCCTCGGGCAGCTGTTCCCCAGTGTTGGGCTTCTCTCAGTATAATTTTCCTCAGTTGTGACTCTGTCCTTCGATAGAGCCGCCCCTGAGCGCACCCTGTCTTTTGAGAGAGTCACCCCTGAGCGCACTCTTCCCGAAGACAGAGACGCAACTGAGAGATGATAAATAAATGTGCTACCCCTCACCATTAGTTGGTAACATAGCTTCTGTGGTTAGGAAAGAGACATTGGCAGCCATTTTCTCAAAAGATATTGTCACAAAAACTATCCTTAATACCTAACATAGTCTTTTAAAAAATAATAAAAAAGTAATACCTCCTTCCACATGACCCTAGACAGTGTTGGCAGTGAACGTGTTAATATTAGCCGAAGGGAGGATTCTCTTTCGGGGAGGTAAACCGGCCCTGAACCCGTTTATACGGGTTCAATGTGCATATTTTTGGGCTGAGCCCACGGGCTCGGAGATCCCACATTAAATAACCGGCCTTGTGCCACATGATGCCCTAGTTGGCGGGGGGTGACTGAATATCGTCACTCAGTGGGTCGGTCTGAGTACAGTCTGAAGTCGGCTGACCGGCTGACCGGTTGAACTCTCTGCCTTCGGGCGGGGAGGAACCCGAACGAGGCTACGCCGAAGGGCGGAGTCTCTTTCGGAGAGGTAAACCGACCCTGAACCCGTTGATACGGGTTCAATGGGCACATTTTTGGCCGAGCTCACGGGCTCGGAGATCCCACGGGCTCGGAGATCCCACGGGCTCGGAGATCCCACGGGCTCGGAGATCCCACGTTAAACCGGCCTTGTGCCACATGATGCCCTCGTGGGGGGGTGACTAAATACCGTCGCTCAGTGTCAGTATCAGCGACCACAACTAGATTTCTATGCGTCATTACCTATTATATCAAGTTCCTAACGTTTTGTACATCGAACTTATTTTAGGACTGACTTAGTACAAATACAAGCCTCCACTGTGAAACTACTCCATAACAAAATTGTACAATCAAAGAACAAATTCAACATCTGCCTATATTTCTGCGATGAGGCATTGTAACATGGAGTTGATTGAAGTAATCCAGTGACTTGAATTGTGAGTTGAATACATGGCCACCAGATGAAAAAAAATTGGAGAGTTGAGTTATTAAAGGGAAATAAATGAAACTGAGATATCCAGAAAAGGCATGGTACGTGGAACTAGAACAATCTAACCCCGCGGACTGAATGAAGGTTCCGGTTCTAAATTCCAACGTACATGAAGAAGCCCGGAGCGTATAGCGGTTGAAACGTCGTGAATATGAAAATAAAGATGAGGACAACAGTTCGAATATTTTAAATAGTGTAAATAAGAACAAATTCATCTGGATGTATTGATGTATTGTTTTTTTCATGGGACCTTTCGTCTATGTCAGGAGTCGGCAACTCATTCGACCCCGCGGGTCGGATCGTGTTATAATGACGGGTCGCGGGCCGGACGAAGGCCATTAATGAAAAATTAAGGAAAATTACATATGCAGACCCTTGTCAACCTAAATATTTAAAACCATAATGAAAATAAACATTGAAAAATCAGAAAAACAAAAGAAAATCTAAAATTAAAAACACCTAACAAAAACTACTTTTCCTCAAGGAACGTCAAAATACTTCAAAGTGAAAAAAATCAACCGAAGTAAAATGGATGAAATTATGACGTGTAGGTTTGAAATTGTTATTGAAAATTGTTCCACAAACGAACCACATATACATACGAGTACAAATAGTTGCAAACATATACACTTGCGTACGTACACATGCGGTATCATCCACACATTCATGAGGCATGTATGTATAATGCGCGTATGTTTAACTGTCTTTAGATTTCTGCTACCTCGCATGTCATTCCCTCCCTGGCCTCTTTCACTTTATCGTTCCTTTCGCTTCTGTTATCTTTTAATGTAGCCAAGGGTCATAACAAATATGTATCCATTATTTGACATTAAACGTAGGCAACGCAACTTGGTAAAATAAGTCTCATGAAAGATAACTGGCAGATAGTCTAATATTTTTAGTGCACTGAGATAACAGCAGGCCTTTTGTCGAATTCGAAAGCATCGTCTCTCATGTTAAAAATAGAGTCATTAGTAATCAAGCTCGCGGGCCGGTCAAAATGCCTTCGCGGGCTGGATCCGGCCTGCGGGCTGGATCCGGCCTGCGGGCTGTAGGTTGCCGACCTTTGGTCTATGTAGTCCTCAGTTTATTCATTGCTGTCATCAGGGATTTCTCTGATGCTATTAAAGTACCAAGATAATCCGTTGCTTATTTTGCCTTTAATCAGAGGAAAGTTAATCTGCGGTTGCTATCGTAGCCGTTGATGATTGTGTTAGCGCGAAGGCACAAAACAGCGTGACTGAGGCTTTGAGTGTACTAGTCTTGTGTAACTATTTATCTCTCCAGATTACTTGCTGTCTCCCAGAAAGATCTAGTAAGTTTAGTTTCAGTATAAACCACATGTTATGCTTGGGTGTTGATGAAACACAAATGAGCCTTGGTCGTCGTCTGGAAAGTGGATTTGCAAGTATCTCTAGTAGACGAGCATACTGGGAAAACGTAGAGTCGGCCATTGTAGGCTGGAATAAAATAAATGGCCGTTGTTGAAATTCATTAACGTTATCACATCTTAAAGTTTCTCTTTCAAAAAGCCATTTATGTTCTTCCAACCTGACGGTCGGTTGAAGACAATGAATTGAGAAAAGAATGAATTCAACGCATATTTTAATTCTATTGCAAAATAAATAGTTGAATAAACGAATCGATAAAACCATTGATATATTCATAGCGATCTTTGAACATGTTCGTTCGTGATTAGTTAGTTGGAATCACAAATTCAAAAGAAAAAGGAACCTTTGATTTATTTTAGCTTATTTATTGATTGATTGGTTGATTTATTTATACTTTTCGGCTCAGCTGAAGAATCACGAAGATTAATTCACGTTGCTTATTCCTTATTTCTTCATTTTTGGGTCGTGTCTGTTTTTTTTAAAGTTTTTTTTTAAAGTCTGACTTTTGTTGCGATCAGTTTTCATCGAAAACAAATATTCAATATTCAAAAGATTTATGTTTGTTGTCAGTATTACATTGATCGATTAGGTCTCCACAACACGTCAAATCGATTATTCTCCAGATCAACATTCTGGATTTTAGTCACACGCATATGAATTAGTATGCAAGACTGATACGTACTAAAATATACCTATACATCAATATGGCTGGTATATGGTCAGTGATAGCATTGGCCATGTGTGAATAATTCTCGTTTGAGCTTGCTTTTTTCGTATACTGGACATCTCACGTTGAAACACCGGTTCCCTTACGATCACCGAAGTTAAACAACATCAAGCTTAGTCAGTACCTAGATGGGTGACTGTTTGAGAATACCAGGTGCTGTAAGCTTCGATGTGCGGGTGGTGTAATGAATAACGGCTCAGAATTGTTAATCAGGAAGCTGTGTTCCAATTGGAGTCGAGTTCGTTATATTTACTTACGCGCAAACACCCTTGGAAAAGGTATGAATCCACCTATTCTAACCCCCCAGCTATGGGTTAATTAGTAGAGGCGCTATCACTATAACCATTATTATCACCAAAGATATAGTATTGCGTAAAAAATATTTAGATTTCGGCATTAAATAACTCATAGAAGTGTTGATATGCCGCTAAACAAAATCAACCAGCCAACTTATATTATTGTTCACACAATGCAATGCTCAAGAGACACTCGGGTAGAGCTATATGGAGTGGAATTGTTTTAAAGAGGTACAATGAAGGAGTAAGAGGGGAATTTTATGAGGATATATAGGATATATAAAGTTTGACATTTGGGCAAAGTTTAACCTTCGTGCGTGCACTAAACAGTGTGTCAAAAGGACGCTTATTCCTTTGACACCGCTATTACTGTACACACTTTTACTCCCTCGGCATATGTTTATTTCTTTTTTCTTTTTATGTGCCATGTCCTTTCAGGACGTAGACGGTCATGGCTCTCCACCTCCTTCTATCCCTTGCAGTTCTCAGCAAGGTCCTTCCTTCTGCTCCCCACCCCATAACACGTTGCTCAAGCTCGTTAGGTATGTCACGCGTTGCTTTCCCTTGTCTCTCTTTCCCTCTATTTGACCCGTGAGTATCAGATTCTCCAGGCCTTCCTTCCTCATTAATCTTCAGCTACCTCTTTCTGATGTTAAGTAGAAGCGTCCTCCTTGTTTGCATCATTGCTCACACGTCCATGATACCCTAAGCATCTTTCTGTAGAACCACATCTATTATGTTAATATGGAAAATACATAAATCTCCAACGAAATCTCAGTTATCTTCTCAAGTTCTTTCTTTTCGTTCTATGTGACGTGCCCTTTCAGGACGTAGGCAATCATGGCTCTCCACCTCCCTCTGTCTTTTGCAATACTCAGCAAGCTCCTTCCCTCTGTTTCCTTCCCCAGACCACAGTCTGTCATCCACCAGCTCAAGCTCGCCACTTATGTTACGCGCTGCTTTTCCTTGTCTATCTTTTCCCCTATTTGACCCGTGAGTATCAGATTCTCCAAACCCTCTTTCCTTATTATGTATCCCAGAAAGTTCAGCTGTCTCTTTCTGATGTTAAGTATAAGCATTCTCTTTGTTTTTAACCTCTGTAAGACCTCATGTGAACCAAGTACAATGCAACATTTATTATTTACTCGGCCTCACATTGCTGACCTGAGATGGAACAAATACATTAAGTCAATAGCTTCGTCCACCGCTAGGAAAGTTGGCTCCCTGTGCCGCGCCAGGAAATTTTTCTCGCCTGAGTCGATCCTTGAAATCTACACATCAACCATTCGCCCTTGCATGGAGTATTGCTGCCATATATGGTCTGGTGCTCCTTATGTTTGTCTCAACGTTCTTGATAAGATCCAGAGACGGATATGCAACGTAATGGGCCCTGATCTGGCATCTTGTCTGCAGTCGCTCTCTCACAGACGTTCCTTTGCCTCATTCTGTCTTTTTTACAAATACTTTCATGGTAATTCCTCCGATGAGCTGTTTTCGCTGGTTCCCAGACTTCATGAATTTAAGCGTTTTACTAGGTTGGCATCTCTCTCACACCCTTTCACTGTCGAAACTGTTAAATTTAACCGTCTCTTCTACTCCAATAGCTTCATGTCTCGCACCTTTCGATTTTGTATGATGCTTTTAAATATTCCATAACTTTTCTTTTTTTAAATATTCCATAACTTTTCTTTTTTTAAATATTCCATAACTTTTCTTTTTTAATTTGCATTATTTCTGTGTTTTGTGAAATAAATTTTTCAGGCTCTTGTAACAGCTAAGTACTGAGGTGATATATAAAAGGCTGAATTAGATAGATGACTAACATGCTGTAATGACTCAACATACAGATATGCGTCCCTATCAGTCAAGCCAATTAGCTGACCGTTCAAACTTACTTGAGCCTGGGCATTGTCTTACAATCGTCTTGCATTTTCAGTGTATTCTTTTAGGGAAAAAAAGTCCGTCTTGTAAGCCGGAAAATATTCCATTTCATGTCAGGAAAACATGAAACCAAAAAAAAAAAAGATGCATCGAGTTGCTCTTCTGTAGTCACACTGATGAAAGGCAAAAAACAAAAACAAAAAAAAAACTTCTCTGTGGTGATAAAAAGATTACAACTTCGTTTTGAAGACGTTAAAATTTACAATTTTCTTTGATCCAGTTAACAAGTGATTGGATGTCATTTCTGGGAGAAAATTAGGATGTTTTTCTCCTTTGCGTAATGTTACGATTTTGTATGACGATTTTAAATATTCCATAACTTTTCATTTTTAATTTGTATTATCTTATTAGTATTTTTCTTTATAAGGATAGAGGGTTTGGAAAATTTGGCACACTGAAGGCAGAAGAAATGAGCGAGTAACCTAATTTGTGCGAATGGTTGGCAGAATGGGAACAGGGAATGATTCTAAAGTGTCAGACGTTGCTTAGAGCTGCAAGGCAGAGGAAGTGGTAGAGAGGAATGATCGAAAGCACACAGCACATTAATGTGGTTTTTAGAAGATTCATGTTATTTTCTGTATTAGTTAAAATCATATCTCTACTTACGCTCGTCCAGTTGCCATCGGCCACTGGGCATCGGACTCGGTCGATATCTTCAGATATTCGTAAGAAATTCTGTAATTCTGGATTTTCAGGGTCGAGGAGTTGAAATCCTGTCATATTGACTCCCCCGTGTTTCAGCCTGTCTAGGGGGAGATTAGTAAATCCCTGAAAAATGGAAAAAAGTGATAAAGCGTTATTGTTAATAGCTGTGTTTTGTTTAATTAAGTGAAAACAACAGAGTCATTTCCGACTTTGGTCTCTGGTTCGGACCCAGTAGGATATGTGTATACAACAGAAATCAAAGGAAATAATAATAATAATAATAATAATAATAATAATAACAGAATCAACAACAACAACAACAACAACAGAACCAATCAACCAAATCGCCAGGCAATCATCTCTCCAAGAAACCAGCCCATCCTCACCAAAAATGTTCTAACAAGCACAACCCATATCCTGCGAAGATCTTTGTACTTTCAAGCTTTTCCTCAAGAGAAGACTTTTGTTTAATTAAGCGCGAACAACAAAAAATCAAATCCTTAACTCGCCCTAGGTCATTGGTTAATGACCCGGTATATGATTATGAAACCAATGCAGGTAAAAAAAAAAAAAAAAATAAAATAATAATTATAATAATAATTCTTAAAATAACTTCACTGAAGGAAACAGATAAAACACTCAGCCATCAAACGTGGGCAAAATAATGCTTAACGCAACTATTAAACATTTTAGAACCACCTGTGAACAAAAAAACAAAAAAGCAAAACAAAAAAAGCAAAAAGAAAAGTCATGTCCTATATACACTTTATGTAGAAGTTGCTTCATTATCTATCTATCTATCTATCTATCTATCTATCTATCTATCTATCAGTTGGTTAATCATCTATCTATTAATTGGTTCATTATCTATCTATTAATTGGTTCATTATCTATCTATCTATCTATCTATCTATTAATTGGTTCATGATATCTCTCTCTCTCTCTCTCTCTCTATCTATCTATATCTATATCTATATATCAGTTGGTTAATTATATATCTATCTATCAGTTGATTATATATCTATCTATCAGTTGGTTATCTATCTATCTATCAGTTGGTTATCTATCTATCTATCTATCTATCTATCTATCTATCAGCTGGTTAATTATCTATCTATCTATTAATTGGTTCATTATCTCTCTCTCTCTGTGTATTTATCTATCTATCTATTTATTAGTTCATCATCTATGTATCTATCTATTAGTTGGTTCATGATCTATCTACCTATTAATTGGTTCATTATATATCAGTTGGTTAATTATCTATCTATCTATCTATCTATCTATCTATCTATCAGTTGGTTATCTATATATCAGTTGGTTATCTATCTATCTATCTATCTATCTATCTATCTATCTATCTATCTATCTATGAATGGATGGAGGATAATTCAGTAAAGCTTTGGCCCAATCGACTTTAAGTGGATTAACATATTTTGAAAACCGTGTTTGGGAAATAAAACATTCCTATAACTATAGATACAGATATAAAACAATGCATATATTGAGTTAAAAATAAAATAAAATGCATGCTTCATAATGACTAAAAGTATAGTCGAAAGCACTTGGGAAACATTCGAACAATTTCTATATAATCTATGTCCTGAAAGGAAAAAAATATACGAACACATGAGAAATTATATAAAAAACTTAAACACCACACCTTGTCAGTCGTTTTTAACGAAACCTGCATAAAAGAGGGATTGCTGCACAAATGCCCAATTTTATATATGTATACATGCAAATTTATACATATATAATCCGCAGTATGATATGCCATAGTATCCTGTATATAATAAAATATTTTATGCAGTTTTTTTCATATCAATATAATATAAAAAACTCTCTAATCAATAGAAATATATCCATTAATATGTATTTATGCCTGGTACCTATACAAACGTATATATATATATATATATATATATATATATATATATATATATATATATATATGCGTGTGTGTGTGTGTGTATGTGTGTATGCGCCCGCGTTTGTGTAACGTTAGAAGTCATCTCCAAATGTCTGAAAATAATGAGACAATCTTTCTCTATTTTTTTTTTATCAAAGTTTTTTATATGAATTATTCATTTTTCTGCGTCATTGTAGATTCGTTTTTTCGTTTATTCGGCGTCATGTGTGACCTCAGGGGCAATTTCGATTTTTAACCCCACACATCTCTCTCAAAAAATGAAAAAAAAAAAAATGGTAAAAATCCATTGAATTGTCGGCCATGTTTTCATCACATAACGTAGCCCATAAAACATGGGGTCGGGTATACAGCAACTTGGTTAACATTGGTTGGCATTGGGAGGAGGGCATTTTAATGGTTGTTATTCAAATGTAAAACTCCTTTTTGCAAGACAGACAGCACCAAGTCAAATTGTTTTCCACTTTGTTTTTCTTTTTTTGTTTTAATACCAATGTTTTTTTCTTCTTTTCGTTTAGTTATTATTTTTTTTTCACCACAATTCCCGCCTTTTCTCGTTGCTAATATTTTCTTTCTTTTTTGCCTATTATTTTTCTTTCATTTTCGATTTTTGTCGTAAACTGTGAGTTACAATTCGACCTGACATATCAGTCGACATTAAGAGCTCGGAATTCATCTTTAAGCCTACAGCAGCCGTACAAGTTGACCAGTTTTACCAATGGAGTAAACAACAATAAAAAGCAAATGCTGTCTATCATTTTTATGTTATAGATTTCTTTTTAACAAAGTTTTGGAACGCCAATATAATTAAAACAACGCCAAGCTCTATTTCGGTCTCTTAACACTGAGACACCAATCTGTTATTATGATAATAAAACTAACTTACATTAACATCATCAATTCAGATGTTATCGTTACCCCACTTGAATATCAAAGGATATTTATAAGGATTTGTACATCAAAGGCTGATCCTATTTTTTTAATGGTTAGCGTGCTCGTTTTGTTAAATATTGAAAGTAGGTTCAATCCAAATTCAACGACGTCTTTAAATCTAATCATAGCCAATATCAATGTATATATAAAGTAGGTATAAATTATCTGAGGCTTGATGGGAAGAGATTTCCTTTAAGTACCACAACTTCCGGTCTTCTTTTGTTGTAAGTGACTCTTGGCCTTCATGACCTTGTTCTGTGGCCTAATCCCTTTAAACTCATCCAGCAACGTAGTAGTTTTCTCCTGTTTCTTTTGCATCCATTAAGTCGTGCGGAGGACGGTGGAGTATTGGATGGCAGCTCGGACTGAGAAATCGGAGAGCTGAGTTCGAATTCCAGTCAGATTCATTACATTACGTGCTAATACCCTTCGGAAAGGTATGAATCCTCTTCTTCTTCCCCTCCCCAGCTATCGGTAAATAGCAGGGCAGACCGAGTTGTATAGCAACTGTTCTACTGCAGAAAGAAATAACTACCTACTACAGGGAAAAAATCTGCCTCCTCAGTCATGTATCGGAAGATACATGATCACCTAAGCGTATATCACGCATGGCACATAACTGACTGATATTCACTTACGTGCTAATACCCTTGAATTATGAATCCTCTTCTTCTACCCCAGCTATGGGTAAATAGCAGGACAGACTGGGTTCTATAGCCTTGGATGGCAACTGGTCTACTGCAGAAAGAAATGGCAACCTACTGTGGGAAAAAATCTGCCTCGTCAGTCATGTATCGAAAGATACATGATCGCCAAAGTGTGTATCACGCATGGCACATAAATGACTGATTATAGGTTATCTGTTATCATATTACACAGTTAGTTAAATTTCTGCACCTTATAAATAACACCCCTGATACATATCACACAACTTCGGTTTCTTTGGCTGACGAAAATTAATTCTGTTTTCTTATACTTAACAGTCTTTTCTTGCTTTCTATTACTATCTTGTCCAAGACCGGCTAAAAGAGCAGAACACCTTATATGGATCGAACTGATTCCACTCGTATGTGGTATACAGTTTCCTTAACAACACAAAAGGCGCCCCTCGCCACTAAATATATTTGTATACATTATCGTTTGCATAGGAAATAAAATATACGGCCATTGCTATCTAGAGCTAGCTTTGGTTCTGTTGTTAATATTTGATTAACGACAAACGGTTCTGTGAGGGAGATGAAAGCAAAAACGACAAAATGGCCGTCATGATGCACGTAATCTCCGCGCTCACTCTTTCCCGCCAACAACGCTTGTTTGATTAAATAATATTATCAACGTAAATGAGAAGCCGGTTACTCTGACTGATGGTCAGTGTCCTGGCCGTTGACGTCCATTGGCAGATTAGCAAAAGTTTGAACAGGGTTCCATATGCCGGAGCATTTATTCAGGTTCTCTTTCGTTGCGGGGTCAGCTATAGGTGGATTTTGCGGAGAGATGCGCTCAAACATCGAAGGATAGAAATATGACATAAAGGGAGGCGGTAAGGAACAAAAGTAAATAAATTGACGAAGAAATGAATTGGAGAGGAAGGAGAGAAAGAAACGGGAACGAGAGAAAAGGAAGGGAGATAGTAAAAAGCGATGAAAGAGAGAGCATTTGGGAGAGAAATAGAATGACTAGGACAATTAGAGAGAAGGGAAATGGGAAGAATTTTTGCTAAGAGTCAAGGCGGAAAACAGGAAGTAATGAGTCAGAGTGTTTGGGCTCGTTAACTGAGTAAACAATGGTATATTCTTTCAACACACACACACACACACACACACACACACACACACACACACACATATATATATATATGAAGAAATATATTCTTAAGGTATGCTATATTTATGGGATAAAGTGATCAATATCAGAAATAGAGCGTGTGTAAATATAAAAGTGAACATTGAAGTCAATACTTAGAGGCGACAGTCTCTTTCATGCTAGACGCAATCGTCAGGCCACCTGATATATATATATATGTATAAATTGCCAAGAGGATAGAATCCAAGTAGAACTCAATATCCAGGACAGAGTAAGAATATAATTTGTAGGTCTGATGAATTGGATCGTGATTACGATTCCAAGGTAATAAATTATAACCATGGAATATTAGTGTTTGAAGCTTTTATATATATATATATATATATATATATATATATATATATATATATATATATATATATATATATATATATATATATATATATATATATATATGGATCAAAATATACTTTTACAAACTTTGGAAACGGGTTCCTCACACAAAATCAAGACAAAAGTCCATATAAACTTATGTCTGCAAATCCTTCGTTTTTGAGTTAGCAGTTTTTAAAGAAAGTTTACAGTAGATGGCATTGTGTTGCCATGTAGACTAGGTTGCATTTTTAATTCGTGTACATTTGTGCGTAGTAGACAGTTAACTGAGAAGAGTTCCGTTTAACAATGGCAGGATATTCATGTTGTGAACAGGCAGACATGATTTTTACATACAGCCGCGTGAATGTTAATGGACGCGTGCCTACACGACTGTATCCGATTGCGTTTCCAGATGGAAGGCAACCCAGTCATCCAACCTTTGATGATGCTTACTGTCGCATTGCTGAGACAGGATCCGTGGCTTCACAAACGTTAGATTGAGGAAGACTGAGGTCCGCTCGCACGCCTGACCACGAAGAACGTATTCTACAGGCTGTCGAAGACGATCCAGGTATCAGCAAATGTCACGTCGCCCTAGAATTTTGAGTTAATGAGTTTAAAGCAAGTTTATAGTAGATGGCGCTGTGTTGCCATGCAGACTAGGTTACATTTGTCATTCGTGTACATTTGTGGCTAGCCTGTCTTCAACGTTTAACGTATGTATTTTAATCGTCCCGTTTACTACAGGCTGTCGAAGACGATCCAGGTAAGAGCGCACATCCTTGTCTTTGTTTTGGTGGAAGGAACTCGCCCCTAATGTTTGTAAAACTATTTTGAATAGACCCTCTTATATGGTGGACTCTCTCGTCGCGGACGACAAAAGAGGGGGTCAGTAAAATAAAGATGTGCTCAACTTTTATATATATATATTTTATATTTATTTATTTCTTATATATATATATATATATATATATGTATATAAATAAAAAGAAAGAACAGTAAGATATAAAATCCGGTGTTCTTATAGATATTTTATTTTTACAAAATAGTTCTCAATGTAAATTTACAGAGCATTAATATTATAAATTAATTGATTTAAAATATGGTTATTTTCGCTACACAGTTCCAACCATGTTTCAAAAATAGAAGCTAAAAACCCCTAATTTTATTTTTGCAAATAAATTAAAAGCATTAGTTCCATTTCATCTTCAAGCGATCCAATTTATCAGACCTACAAATTATATTCTTACTCTGTCCAGGACACTTAGTTCTATTTGGATTCTATCCTCTTGGAAATTTAAATATATATATATATATATATATATATATATATATATATATATATATATATATATATATATATCAGGTTTCTGACACGCATGTATCTCTCAAGGTCTGCAGGTGTTTTGTAAACTTTTAGACAGATAAAAAAATATAGATGAGTCATTTCGCTCGAGTCGTTGAAGATTAATTGCCACATGTTTTCTCGAGTGGACAGCAATGCCGGCTTTACTGCGTTCAACAAAGCCACAAGTGGCAGGTAAGGCGATCATTGAGAGGAGTTGCATGATGCCAACTTGCATTAATATTTTCACGCAGCTGATCCCAATGTTCAAGTCAGCCTCGCTCAAACCTTTGTATAGATGAGAATCAGGGCAGGTGCCATCTCCTTCGCTCTGGTGTTTTGTTTTCCCAGGAAGACAAGGGGGAAGCTGCATCGCTTCAGATTGTCATGAATTTTTCTTTGTAATGCAAGAGTGACCTGCCAACTGACCTTCCTGTTAAGATCAGTATATATATCAGTATATATATATATATATATATATATATATATATATATATATATATATATATATATATAGTGTCATTCACAGACAGGCTGTTTAGCTGTATCACAGCTCGTCAGTGTGGCTAGACGTCCGGTTGCCTCAAGCTAGGATCGAAACCCGACTGAATTGGGATGAAGGTAAATTTAAGCGTATTTATTTTTAGATAAACACAAAGTGACTGAGAGAACTCGATTCGATTTACCGAAGAGTCTTGCATTATTAGCCGTAATAGAAACTGTTTACAAACCCACACTTCCTCCCCAGAGAGCTCAACCGAAATAAATTTTTTCAGGAGCATATACTGAACATCAGTTGTGTTTTTCTCAACGTGAATCGAACTCCCTATAGTAGTAACCGTCTTTAAGCTAATCTTGATGACACACAGATACACACACACACACACACACACACACACACACACACACACACACACACACACACACACACACACACAAACACAGATATTTATATAAATGTTAGGGCAGATGTTATGCGAAATTTTCAGTTACTTAATTTACGCTGGCAACAGATACAGTAAGGAATATATAGAGAGCATTAAACTTACTACAGAAATTCGTTTGTGAGACAAATATACTGACGTTACGGTAGGCGTATACATTTAATAAGAATTGCCTGGCAGAAATCCATAAGTGCAGGCCTCAGTGTGGATCGAACTCACAACTACGATCTTATTACCATATGCTCCATGATGAGGGTGTAATCATTTACAATTTTAGTTTGGCATAAGTTCAAAATAGGTAAGAAGACAGTGAGGATCGAAGCCATGATCAGATATAACGACTAAGGTGATTGGCTTGTCAACCAGCTCACTATATCAGAATTCTTTCCCGCCTTTTAAAATAGAAATTTACTAAACTGATGTTTGAAAAAAAAAAGGCTACAAAAGTGAAGGATGTAATGCACTACGCAAATCTATAACGATATTTATCGTCATTATCATCATCATCATTATTTTCCTCATCATTTTCATCGTCATCATTATCATCCCCATCATCCTCATCATTTTTATCATCGTCATCATTATCATTATCATTTTCATCATCATCATTATCATTTTCATCATCCTCATCATTTTTATCATCATCATAATTTTTATCATCATCATTATCATCCTTACCATCCTCATCATTTTATCATCATCATCATTATCATCATCCATATCATTATCATCCTCATCATCCTCATCATTTTTATCATCATTATCATTATCATCATCATTATCATTTTCATCATACTCATCATTTTTATCATCATCATCATCATCATTTTTATCATCATTATCATCCTCATCATCCTCATCATTTTTATCATCATCATCATTATCATTATCCTTTTCATCATCATCATCATTATCATCCTCATCATTTTTATCATCATCATCATAATTATCATCATAATCATTTTCATCATCATCATCCTCATCATTTTCGTCATCATCATCATAATTATCATCATAATCATTTTCATCATCATCAACATTATCATAATTATGATCCTCATCATTTTTATCATCAACATCATCATCATTTTCATCATCATCCTCATCATTTTCATCATCAACATCCTCATCATTTTCATCATCATCATGGTTAGCATCATCATCATCATCTTCATCATTTTTATCATCATCAACATTATCATCATTATTTTCATCAGTATCATCATCATCATCATCATCCCCTTGACGTTTGTAATCGTAGAGGTGGATCCGAATGGAGAAACCGCACTGAATCTCCCCCAGAGATCAACGGCAGCCATCATTAATTCTGGTATAGTCATACTTGTCCATTGTTTGACATTGTCCAACCAATTTTTATTTTTTATTTTTGCATTGGCGTCCTCTCCTACATGCACTTTCAACGGTGCATTGCATGATGATCCTGAACAGGATGTCGTCCCTTGCAACGTGTCCAAACCACGCCATTTTTCTCCGTTTGACAGTAGCGAAAAGAGGCTCCTGGTGACCCCAAAAACTTTCAACCCTTTCCCCTTCAAACCCAAATGTTTTATGTTCCCAATAGAAATAAATATTTGTACTTGAAATAATAAAGAAGCACTTGAAGTTTCTTGGATATATATAATGTGAAAAGGCGGCTTGGAAAATATAATCTCACATGTCATAACTGAAGAAAAGTTAGGAACAGAAGGAAAACGAATAACTTCTCCGATGAGTTTATGTGGATGGATGGCAGAGAGGAGACAAAGAAAGTTGGTAAAATATTAAACGTTACCGCGATCTACAAGGGTCAAAAAATCGTGGACAGCAATGCTCACCAACGTCTTGAAATAATACAGCATATTGTATAAGATGACAATTGGAAAAAATAATAGTTTTTCAAGACAAAAATGAAATCGAAATGTTTTTGTTGCTATAGTTACATTACAAAATCCAAATTTAAAACGATAGACGCACCTGTGTAAGCGTCTTTCTGGCTAATATAAATTTCCTTTATACTAAGAGATTTTTTTTTCATGTCGACAATATAGTTAAATTCCCAGATCAATTCTGTGGACAAGACAAATTGGTATAAGATGACAATTGGAAAAAAATCTTAGTTTTTTGCCGACGCATTTCTAAAAAATAAACTAAGATTTTTTCCCTAATTTTCATCTTATACCAATCTGTCTTGTCCACAGAATTGATCTGGGAATTTAACTATATTGTCGACATGAAAAAAAATAATACAGCATATATAAGAAGAAGAATACGCTAAAGACCACTCCATGGTAGGCGTCTATATAACCTAAATATGCGGGTGGCTATCCAGGCAACATTAGAGTCGTTGCATTGGTAATATTCCGTGAAATCCCGTTTACTATTCATTCTTCCACAATTTCATCTTCAGCACGTTAGGGATCATGGCGCTCCACGATTTCCTGTCGGTTGTAGCCCTTAGTAAGTTTTGTCCTTTTGCTTTCACTGTTATATTATGCTAACCATTTACACAAGCTCGCTAGGTAGGTTATGAGCGACCTTACTCTGTCCTTAACGTTTGTAATATGTCCTGTGAGTGTCAAATTTTACATGCCCTCTTTCCTCATTGTGGTAATAAATAAAGCACATCCCACCTTCCCTCTCGCTTGTAACAATCCACTATAATAAAATAAACATTTTCGGCGTTAAAGCCGAATTAGTCAAATAAAGCTTCATAAGTTTCTACTTAGAGTTGTAGCTATATTACACTCATGTGATCTTTTTGTTTTCCTTTTCTTTAAAAATTCTTCGATGCTTATGTGTTCAGTCCATGGTATTCTCAGCATCCTCCTGTAGGAACATATTTCTGTTTCCTGATCCTTCTGTTGGAACATATTTCTGATTCTTCAAGTCTCTTTTGTATCTGTGATGAGATGGTCCAGCATTTACTGGTATATAGAAGTATGCAGATGACACATCACACACATATAATGACAACTACAAAATCTCCTACAGAAGTTAACGAAGGAAAGCGAGAAGAAAGGACTAAGTATAAACTACAAGAAGACAGAATGCATGTTTATAGCAAAAGGATGAGCACAAAATGCAAATTACAAATCGGGGATATTAAAATCAAATCAGAAGAGGAATTTAAATATCGGGGATGTGTTCTAACAGAGGACTGAAAGTGCTACACTGAGATCCGAAAGCATATATGGATGGCCAAAGATGCATTGCAAAAGCTAAGCAGAGTATTAAAAGACAGGAAAATTTTGTTGGAAACAAAGAAAAGATACTGAACTGTTATGTGGCATCTGTTTTCTTGTATGGCAGCGAATGCTGGACAATCTTCCCAAAAATTAAGAAAATTAAAGCAACAGAAATGTTGTCCTACAGAAAGATACTGAGGATACCATGGGCCGAACGCGTGAGCAACAACGAGATTTTGGATAAAATGGGAACGAAAAGGAAACTTATACTTAACATCAGGAAGAGGTAGCTAAAATTTCAGAGGCACTTGATGAGGAAGGAGGGTTTGGAAAACCTGATACCCACAGGAGAGATTGAGTAAACGAGGGACAGAGGAAAGCAGCATGTAACGTACTTGATGCAAATGAATGGTAGAATAGTGTTTGAGAAATAACAAAAAGACAATACTTGTTAAGAGCTACAGGGGACAGGAAGATGTGGAGGGCTATTATAACTTACGTCCTGAGGGGATAGAGCACATAAAGAAGAAGAAGAAGAAGAAGAAGAAGAAGAAGAAGAAGGAAATATTGCAAAAGAGTTCAGTACTGTTAAAGTGATTTTCTCTAGATCTTAGAACTGCCTTTTGTGGAAGGGTACGTCTCTTGTTTCCATAACCGTCAGCTTTAGAGAAAATCACGTTAAACTAACACTTTTCAAATCTAATCATATAATTTACTGTCTTGCACGCTGTAAGGGGCATAGACAGATCTCGGAATTTGTTTCCTTGAATAATTCTTTCTATCACTTGTTTATTTGAGTACATTTCACCTGAATGCATTCGTTTAGAAAAATAACAAAAAGAAAAAAATGTGTTTATGCTTGAGAGAGAGAGAGAGAGAGAGAGAGAGAGAGAGAGAGTGTGATTGTGTGTGTGCGTGGTATGTGTGTGTGTGAGAGGGAGAGGGAGGGAGAGAGAGAGAGAGAGGAAAATAGACTTTCTGTGTTATATTTCTCATTCATTTCAATGTGTCACTTGCAAAGAACAAACTCACCCAGACTTCAGTATCGGCTGACACACCGCCCGAAGATAAATCCATCGACGCATAAATGATGTATAGTCAAATTTTATCCATAAATGGTTTTCAAAGAGATCATGAACGCGAGTTGAAATCTGACAGACATATTGATACAAATACACTTTGGATAATGGCGCCCGTGTCTAATTTAGGTTTCAAGGGACGTAAATCTTGAGTTCGTTCGAGTGCACATGCGCACCTGGAATTTACGGCATCTCTGAATGATCGCGTCACATTCATACAAAAATGGCTCCCGGTAACATATCGCCTGATTTTGTAAAATTTTATTTTGAAGATGTTCTTTTCTTTTGAATTTTATTTTGGAAAAAGGAAATTTATAGAATTATCAGGTATAAATTGTGTTTAATATTTTCTTACAAAATTAGAATAAGCAAATTTTCCTACGAAGTTGGAATAAGCAAATTAGACAAACATTATATAAATTTCATCGAAATGAAACCAAGCGAACGGATAATAAAAAAACAGCTGAAACAAGATTATTAATGAATAAAAGAAAGAGGATTAATATAATATATATATATATATATATATATATATATATATATATATATATATATATATATATATATATATATATATATATATATATATATATATATATATATATATATATATATATATATATATATATATATATGTGGAACCTAAATTTCCTGAAAACCGTTCGTAACCCGAAATGTTCGTAAACCTAAACTATTTTTCCAATAGGAATCAATGTAGAGAAAAAAAAGGTCACAGTACAATAAAATTGGAAAAGAAAAGCACGGCACAACGCATGAATGTCTACAACAAGGCGGTCAACTTAGAAATGATTCCGTTCGGGTTAATTCAGTTCGGCCATATTGCTCGAAAAGCAAAATTTTGTTCGATAACCGAAGTATTTTCATCTCGAATTTTCTGTTTGAAAACCGATTTATGAGACGCGAACCGAGGTTCCCCTCTCTCTCTCTCTCTCTCTCTATATATATATATATATATATATATATTTTTTTTTTTTCCTCTTGTCTCTTTTCATTTATATATATATATATATATATATATATATATATATATATATATATATATATATAAAAATGAAAAGAGACAAGAGGAAAAAGTATGCTTAGCCGAAACGTTTCGTCCTCTGAGGGACTTTATCAAGACACTGTAGTATTTATTTTGCTGCACGTGTTTATATACAAAGGCGAGGATTTCATTGGTTTATCAAGGATTTTGAGAAGGTTCATGAATATTCATCAAGTGGTTGAAAGGTCACTCAGAGCATGTGGCGGACACAAAGTGTTATAATTCAAAATCTGGCAAAAAGTAAAGTGAGCCAGTAATATTCCAGACTTAGTTTTCATGTATATCATTTAGATTGTGATTATATTGTTATGGTATGAGATGGACATAAGTGCTGGACATTATCAAAGTCTGAAGTGATGGATTTAACTATTTTCTTTTGAATTTCAACATATTACTGGTTGCGTCTGTTGGCTTGGGAAAGGAGTAATTATTTCGGGGAAGATGAGGTTAGAAAAAAAAAAACAGGGCGTAGATTTATATTTTGATAAGATTCGATGGCGGCACTCTCGAGAATTTTCCTTCTGATTATTAATATGAAAACTTTAAGAAAATTAATTTATTGGCGAAAGCTGCTTATATGAAGACTCATGAACAAAAATGGAGATTTAAACCCTCGTATGGAATGTACCGACCAGAATCAGAAATTGATGCTCGACAATCCCATCAGTAGCTCTGAAGAAAAGGTCTTAAGAAGGGACAGAAGGCCTTATTATAGCGGCACATGACCAATATATTCCAAGTAGTGCCTACAAGGCTAAAATCAACGAAAATGGTCCAAATCATGCCTACCATAGATTTGATGAAAGTGTTGACTAGACATTATCAGTGTACAGTCCTTGCTGAGAAAGAATACATTATTAGACATGATGAGTTAGGACAATATATTCATTGGCATGTCTGTCAGGACTTTGGTATTGAAATCTTGGGTACGTGTCACAAACACCATCCGAGTGATGTCGCAAATTGTGATGGAGTGACTATATTTTGGAATTTTCCAATCCTCACGGACAGGAAAATTGATGCAAAAGGACCAGATATACTCATAAGAGATTTGTTAAAAAGGAAAAAAAATCAGAACCTTTTTCGTTCAAACACTTCCTCGATCTTTTGAACATGAGTAGAAGTTTATCTCTTCTTTCTTTATCTGTCTATATTTCTGAGATGAGGTATTATGTACACTATTTACATTATTCGGACTATTGTCCTCATCTTTGTCGCCATATTTATTACAACGTTTAGGCTGTTGTTCAGGTGGTTGGAATGTCGAACTGAACCCTTTATTTCAAGGACACATGGCACAGTGGATAAAGGTGTTGGTTAGATCCAGTGAGAGGACCCAAAGAGTATGAGTTCAATACCCGGTTAAGGCAGTGGAGAACTTTCAGAGGGAAATTAGCAGGAGATAAATGATACCTGACATCCATTAAACATGGCACGTGGAACTAGAACAGTTTACCTCAGTGAGCGAAATAAAGGGCTAAATTCAACATTCCAACCACCTGAAGAAGGCCGGAGCTTACAACAGCCGAAACGTTGTAATAAATATGGCGACAAAGATGAGGACAATAGTCCGAATAATGTAAATCGTGTACTCTTCTTTCCTGTTTAGGATTAGGATTCTGATTACTTCTAAAATCTACTTCAACTCAATACTTCTAACGTCTGCGCCTAAACTGTGTGATGTTAATTACTATTTATTTATTTTTCGTCAATAGAGATAGGTTCGCAAATCGCACGGTTCATCCTTCTTCTTGGTCTTTTGATCAGGAGTAGAGAATTATCCCTTGTTACCTTTTTAAGATTGAGCTTCCTGTTCCTTCTAAAGACTTTTCATTCTCTTTCACTCGAAGTAGGTTCTTGCGTCTTAGTACCGTTATCGCCTTGATTGGGGTGAATTGATTAAAAATCAAAACAAAACCTGCGAAATAATTGATATGACTTGCTCACAGGATTCCACAATTTAGGTATTTTGTTGTCAGTATTTAATAAAAATATATTCAATAAGTAATAAAGTGAAATGAACCCGTAACAATTCCATGGCTGTCATTGTATCATTTTTTATGTATTAAGTAATGCTTTGGTGGGTGGGTATATTTTATATTTAATTCATCATTATAATACTACTGTATAGTGTATGCATATTCTTTGAACTGGGACTTAATCGCTCACCCAGACTTAAGCTCACTCCAGACCTCAAGTGGAACTTGTACATATGATACATTGCTAAAGATGGTGGAATTATTGTCAAATTATAAGGGCCTACAAATCGAAAATGTGGACACTTAAAACTACAATTATTCCGGTTGCGACAGGGGCATTGGATAGAATAAAGAAATATACCGAAAATAATGTTTGTAAAATTCCTGGACACATCGGTATTTCAGAGCTACAAAAGATTACTTTATGTGTAACTGCGTATATCATCCTCAAAATTATCTCTAGCTAAACGACACGTCACAATTATGTATAGATAACACTTCTACAGTTGCCTTATTACTTACATACCCCGGAGAATTACTCACGGGCAAGATGAATATTAAACACAATAATAATAATAATAATAATAGCCATTTTCCAAGCGTAGCTTAGATGTGGCACAAGGCCGAAAGTGTGCGACACCCAGGGAGGATCAAACACACTACTCTGTCAAAATTGATCAAGTAAGATCAAGCTTGCTAACCATTACACAGCCTCGAGGTGCCGACATTATGGAGCACCCAGTGAGGATGAATCACACTACTCGGTCGTAATTGTTCAAGCGAGACAAGCTTGGTAACCATTCCATCGCCTCTGAGGTGCCCTAATATTGTGATTTTCCAAGCATAGCTTAGATGTGGCACAAGGCTGAAAGTATGGGCCACACAGTGAGGATCAAACTCGCTACTTAGTCGTAATTGTTCTAGCGAGACCAGCTTGCTAACCATTACACCACGCCGAGGTGCCCAAATAATAATAATAATAATAATAATAACAAAGACGTGGCCTCTCATCTGCACATGTGCCTATGCAAGACGTATGGACTTGAAGTCGGCGAGAAATGTTTTTGTCACCAGCTCGAGAAGGTTATCAAAAATTCCAAGTCAAGATCTTGTGGGATTTCACCATCAAAAGAGACTGCGTTCTTGAAGCCATAAAATCAGTCATCACGTTCGTTGACAATAATATCAAGGAAAAAAGAAATTGACAATTTTAAGAAACATAGTGACGTCCGGACTGAAGTTGCTAGAATGGGCGACGTTCAGGCCACCATTGTACCTGTTATCACTGGGGCATTAGGGTCAATACCACCGAACTTGAAGTCCTACATTGATAAATTCGGAATAATGCCTCGTATCACACAGCTTCAGAAATCTGCGTTGCTTGACACTTCAAATATTCAGCGAATGGCGCTGTCCGAAGCCTTACCTTTTATGGAAAACATCTTTGATATAAGATCTCACTGGGGTAGACTGTTCTAGTTCCATGTGCCATGTTTAATGGATGTCAGTTGTCAGTTATCTCCTGATAATTCACCTCTCCAAGTTCTCCACTGCCTTAACCGGATACTGAACTCACATTCTTTGGGTCCTGTCACTGAATCTAACGTTGTAATAAATATGGCGACAAAGATGAGGGAAATAATGTAAGTAGTGTTATTTAGTTTTATTGTTTATATTGAGTTATATATTACGTTTATATTGAGTTTTATCTCTCTACTAGCAGCATGGCCCGGCGTTGCCCGTGCTTGATTAAAAAAAACGTACGACTCAGACAGCAATCGCTATCACTTGACTTAAAATATTTTTGCCCTTCCTTGCCTTTAAAGGAGTGCCCTTTGCCGTGCTGATGTTGCTACATGCCTTACTTCTTGCCTA